AGATTTTTCCTTACCATTCTTCATCCCTTTCATCCCTTTCTTTTTTTACATACTTCAATTTTAATGCAAAAAAAAAAAAAAGTAAAAAAAAAAAAGGTTGTAATTTTAATATGTTGAGATAGAACAGTTCTATTTCATCTGAACCCATTACTCTGTTTATTATGTGCTGAAATTATCACTAGTCTTTGGTACAGTGGAAACATTTTTAGTGAACATACTATTCACCAGGAATTAAGATATTAATTGCTATTTACAGTTTGTACTTGTCAGAATTTACCCATCATACCTTATATACAGTTACTAATTCACATGTTTTTGAAACTCTCTGAAGTAGTAAGACAAGAAAACCTCTTTTTTTTTCTTTTTAAGTGCTAACTTTCTTTTTGATGAATAATTTTTACCTGCTGGAGACAGGAAGATTTTCTCAGGCACAGTAGTTAATACCCTGACTTTAATTAGATGTGATTTGTTCTAAATCTGTTGCACATTTCTTAGCGTATATCACAACTGTCCCTCACTATGGGAAACAGCTCTCATTTTACAGCCACATTCATCTGTTCTGGTGACCTGGTATTACAAATATTTTTAAATTACTTTGACTTATTTTATGTAACAAATGATGAAATATTAAGAGACAACAGAAAATGTTGCAATATGTACAAATTATTTGTGAAAGTACACTATTTGTATAGCGGATACTTTTGACTAACTAGAGAGAAGTAGACTATTGATCACTTAAATACATGGAATTTACTGTATAAGTTTCAGGAATGTTTTAGTATTTTATCTGATAACGCTGCCAAAGTTATACTGAGAACTTGAGTTAGGTTATGAATATTTTTAAATTAATCCTTCAGGATGATTTTTCTGTGGTGGTATCTGAGTGTGGCTGTTGTACTGTCTTTATTTAAAGTTCTAATGAAAATAGCTCAAGGCCTCTGAAAAGCAAACAAGAGGAAACAACTCACGTTTTTGCTCACTTTAGAGAAGAATGAGAAAATATACATTGCAGCAATTTCATTTAGGATCTCTAATAACTTCTTGCTCTGCTCTTAAGAAAAGTGAAAATGATTTCTAGCAAAGTGTGTCCTCTGTCAGTGGCTGTGCAGTATAAGAACAACAACCTCTTATAAATGTCAAAGGGGAGGTCTGGGTTGTAGGGCTGCCAGTGCAAACCTAGTTACTCAAACTTGTGGTAGGAAAGAAACGGTCAGTCTGGTTCCATTTGAGAGAGAAATGAGAGGTTTGGATTTTTTTTTCTTATCAGTCAGAACTTCTGTTGAAAGACTGGTAATGGTTGCAAATGTAGGTGCAAAGGAGTTAAGAAAAAAACCCCCAGAATTTAGGTTGACTGTGCGAACTCTGTTATATTCGTAGGTATTATGCCAGTGCCATTACTAATACACTCCATCATAATATTTTTCCAGTATTTTTGTTGTTTAGACACACAGGGAACTACACTGCGTCAGGACGACACCAGTGTGCTGTGAATATGCCTGTTGTCTGAACAGCCCCTACCTTATTAATTCCCAAACGTGGAAGGTGCTTGGTGCAGGCTGTCAGGTGGCCGTGAGGCTGAATGCCATCCTTGAATTCCCTCCCTGCCTCTGCCACCAGAGTTGCTATCAGATACCGAGCAAATCACATAAACTGACACAGTCTCATTTAGTCACTAATCGTGTGTTACTAATTTTCATAATACCCAAACTAAGGCACCTGTGACCAGACTCAAAGCTGTATAAAGTGTTCACCACTGCAGTAAGATATAATGGGAACAGTGCTTTAAGTGTGTGCAATAAGACTGTTAAGTACACATGACATTGAGAGGTGTCAAGATAGGCACCCAGAGTTAGTCTCAGTCTCTCTTTGTTCTCCACTTTCTTACATGAAAAGAATAGGATAACCTAATATTGCAAAGACTGTGAAAAGAGCTTCACTAATATTTGCAGGGCAGTGGGTGCCATTGCTATGAGTGATGAATTATGCACCTAAGCCAGAAACCTATTTATCTTTTGTAGGAGAACACGTACTGCTTTTATTTCTATTTAGGTCTGACCCTGCAGAAGATTTTCTGTTCTCTCTTTTATTTAAATTAACGTAAAATCAAATTATTAGGATAGTAATCAAACAGCCTGTGGGAAAGTATGTAATAATTATGTGTTATTGTTCAGTCCAACATAGTTACAAAGTAGCACAACCTATCTGCGTTTTGAAATGAAACAGTAAACAAAAAAATTATGCTGAACAAATCTCATGTCTTAATTCTCATTCTGTTTTATTTATTTAAGCTCCTCTTTGGAGCAGTATCTGAAAACTTTACAGTCTTTATTACTTAACACTCGGAATCTTTGTATAAGCTAAGGAAATAATATAATCCCTATTTTATGGATTTGGTGGTAAAACATGGTCAAGATAAGCCCATACACATTGAAGGACATTGGTGTGTGAATGCTAGGGGCTTCAGTTTCAACCTTATAGGTGCCAGCCTTTAGACTGAACTCTGGATCAAGTTTCTTATATCATGAATGACACCTGAGAAGGTATCATCCAAACCAGCCAGCCAGGTAAGCAGAGTGTCACAGACTGTCCCCTGCGGTAGCCCTCTGCTAACCAAGAAGGAATTTTCTGAGGCCAGGGGTAGGTCTACAATGGTGCCTCTAAGGTTCCTCCATATATTTCACGTTCAGCGGTTGTTGGGTGGAAGGCAGAAGCAGACCCAGCATTTGAAGACGGCTGGCGTGCTTTGGCAATGCCTGTCACCTCAAAGCCCCTGAGAGACCTGGGCAAAGGCACAGGTAATTCCTGAACTGTGTTCCAGCTAAGGGGTGACCTTGGTGTGAGCCGTGGAGCCCTGGCAGTTTGGAGCTGTTCTGGGCAGGCAGAGAGGCACCCAGGGAAAACTTTACAGGCAAAATAAAACAATATTCAGTGTTAGGCAGGTGGCAAATGAAAGTCTGCAGCATTGCGGTTTTTGAGCTTTGGTACCTGGGCTCCATCTCAGACACCATTAAATGCCTTTTCTTCATTTGCCAAAAGACACACGTTGTAATGCAGTAAGTTGAACCTCGATTTTTCTTGTATATACCTATTTTTTTTTTTTTCTTCCCTTCTGTTGTCCCGTTCCTTATTATGGACACATTTGGCCACTGTCAAATTGAATGATTTTTTGCATACTTGGTTGGCTGACTCTTTTTTTCCTAATTTGCTGATACAGTCAACTGTGCCAGTAAAGCAATTATGCAAAATTGTGTATAAAGGTTTAATGATACAAAACAGTGTTCATCACAAATCTAATTGTGATTCTTACCATCCTTCCATAAACTAAAGGTTTTGAGATGTTTGAATTATGATCTCTGTGGTTAATATCTATTTTGTTAAAAAATACATTTAGTTTAGCAGATAAGGGAACATTTAATGTACGTGCCACTGTTAACTTTGGAAGGAAGCAATAAACAAAAATAGTGACTTGGAGGTGTTCAGATAATGGTTTATATGCTTTCAGGTGGTGATTATGAGAAGTCTGCTTTATTACATGTCTCATTAGGTTACGCTGTTATCTGTTTTACATTACAAATGATAACTATATGGTTGATTGTGCACTGAGTCTAACACAACACAAAGATAAAAATGTAAAGATGGACATAGTAACAAAGCAGAATGATGTGTCTGCATACTGAAAACAAAGAGAAAGTGGGTTAAAACAGAATTGACAGTGTACAGAGGTTTGGTGTCTGGTTTCCACTCAGATAACTAAACCTGGTTCAGCAAAAGAGCAGTAAAGCAATACTTGGTAATGCTTTCATTAAAGCCGAAAATCCCATTGGCTTTTCTTGGTCCAGAATAGAGCATTTAGAAACATTTCAAAACTGATATTTCTCCTTCATGTTGCATTGATATTTTCTGATTGCTGCCCTGCTGCTTTCCTCAGAACCCTGGCTGGGGTTTAATCCTACCACAGAAAGTATTAGCGTGTCAGATACTATTATTAGGATGGACGTTTAGTAGAATCTCATTTGTATCAGGTCATTATGTGCTGCAGGTAGAGATCTTCTGCCACAGCCACTAGAGACAAAGCACACACTGCTTCCATCAGACAGCATATGAGGAGGGAGAAGGAAAAGTGACTCTCCTTTCTATCCCTTTCTTGGTTAACAGTTCTCAGCTGTATGTCATCTTTGCACTAAGGAAGCATTAAGGACTGTAAGGACAGGGAGTAGTGAGTAACCTGGCAGTGCTTTCTGCTATGTCCTTAATCAGGGTCACACTTGAGTGCTGAATTATGAAGGTGAGTTCTGTTCACTGGGGTGCTCCACGTAGTCAGATGTGGGAGCTGTTTTATACTGAACACAGCAGTCTGTGGCTTGTATAAACAGCTTTAATTTACTGCTTTCTGAAAACAGAGGCCTGAAGCAGTCATGGAGGTTTCAGGAATGTTAATTGTTTGTGTACATGAATGAGCTTATAAATGGTGGTTTTTTGCACTCTTCCATAGCCCATCGAGGGTAACTGTGTCACTGCCAGAGAAAAGGAAAAGAGAACGATTATTATTTTTTTTTTCTCCACAGTCTACTAATACTTTCAGGGCTTGATATAATGTGCCTTTAACAAACCGTGAACTTCTCTCCTACTGAGCCACTGCTTCCTGCCTACATTCACTGTAGGCAGAGAACCATTATACTAATCCACTCTCCCATCATATCTCTAGCAAACACATGTAAGTGTTTTCTTTGAATATTTATTTTGATGCAAGGAGTGTTAAGTCTTTTATTTGGCAACAAAAACAAGTAGGAGATTGTGACTTCTCAACTTTGTCACCTTAATTGTGGAAGTTCTGGTTTTCAGCTACAACATGTTTTGACGAACCAATGACAGTCACATTTGGCTTTAAGTGAATAATCCTGCCACCTCACAACAACCTTAGAATAGTTCACCTCTGCAGGTAGGATAGCTTTAAAAGGTAGGTGCTGAAATGATCAGTCTTTCGCTTTGTTTTTTAACAGGTACGGTTATATGCAAGGCCTGATGCAATCCGAAGAGGATCGGGGGACTATGCTCTAAATATTACAAGGAGACTCATTGAATTTTATGAAGATTATTTTAAAGTGCCGTATTCCCTGCCAAAATTAGGTAAGATTTCCTCTAGAACATGAAGTTCATCCAGCGATGGGATATTAAATCAGCTTTATTTAAAGGAAATTTAAGACTAGAATGTACTAGACTTCAAGGTAAGGAACGTTTGGGTTGGTTTAGAAGGATCAAGAAGTAAGGAATTTTTTATTTCTTCCTTGCAGAGGAAGGACAGCCAAATTATCCCCTGTTCAGCCTTGCACTGAAAGGAGCAGGAGGCAGACAGTACTTAAATTTGTTAGGCAATGGGAAGAGAACTGGAGGCCTTTCACTGACAAGTGGGTTGGTTTTTTTTTTTGATGCTGTTTATTTTGATAGTGGCTCATTAGGTAGCTACTGGGAGATGTTTGTTCTGTGATATTTGTGTCTTGATGCCTCAGCCTTAGATGGGGAACAGAATTGAAAATATTTGTGGAAACTGGGAACCTGTAACAGTGCAAGGCTGTATTTTTTTTTTAATGCTGGCTTATGTGGTTTATTAATGACGATTAGTACATATGCTTAATTGTATTGTTGCTTATTGAAAGAACTGCTGTGAACTTGTTTTGCTGCTCAAGTGACCTAAATGTAAAAGCTGTCAATTTCTATTATTTTTTAAATAGTTTCTTCTCATCCTCCCTTTCACCAAAATCAATTGTTCTCCTACACACTTGGAATACTTTACACCATATTATTACACCCTCCCTCCTTTGGAGCATGATTGATCAAGATCCAGAAAAGCCTATTGCTCAGCAGCAGGAAGAGAGCTTGTATTTGGTCAGAAGTGTTAGAGTTGGAACCATAGGTGATCGATCCTCCCAGGAACTCGGGGTCTATTTCATTAAATCCCTTGCCTGCTGAGTAGCTTTATCAGTCTTACAGCTAACGGTGTAGGAGATAGATAAAGTAATTGATGTTGCTAGATGAGGGTGTTGCATGAATTTTTTATAAGAATGTTATGGCATTTGTTTCTTGTTGTCTTTAAATGACGGGTTACAGGCAGTGTTCTGGCGAAATATGCAGATGGGTTAAACATGGCATGTGCATCAGACTTTCTGTGTATCCTTTCATACCTGGCTTCTGGTATGTAATGACGATTTCATAAAGGAAGTTATAGACTTAGAGGTGCCAAAAATTTAGAAGGAAAAAAGTAATCACTGTCACCTGATACACTGCTGTCACTGCTGCAAGGGATTGTGTACTTCATTAAGGTTTTAAGAAAAAATCAGAATGTTTTTTGTGGGACGTTTGAGGAGTTTTTAATTTGATTTATAAATGAACTGTGAAATGTCTTCAAGTGGGAGTAAAAATTGAGGGATGTAGTTTAAAAAGCTTTATAGTGACTGTGTTAGTTTTGTAGAAAATGTTCTATTTCAAACATAGATGTTTTAAAAAATGAAAAATTTTGTTTCATGTATTTTCCAGCTCTAACAAGAGTGAACTTAAAGAAATGTAATTTTTTTGGTTGAAAACACAATTTATGTTTTCAAAATAATTCTGTTGTTGAAATACTGACCAGTTTACTGTGCAGGTGCTGTATCAGCTACTGAGCGATACGTCATTAGCGTCATTGCTGTATGCTTGAGGGGGTGTGTGGGGACAAGGGATCTGCAACCCGTTGCAAAGCAATTCCGTCCTCTGTGTACTCATCCATTCAAACTCTCTATATGGTAGGAGTATCTGAGGGCATTTTGGCTCTTCAGATGTGTTGCTATATCAGAGGGACCTGTGTTCATTTGTTCATTTATGTCATTGAGGTCTATTTCCAAGGATCCTTGGCATTTGAAACTAGTGCTCCTCATCTGAGTTTGTAATAAATCAGCTAGTGTTCTCTATAGGAAGCACTTTCTCCTGACGCTCTTGGCTACTTGACTGGTTTTGACCAGGCTTTTTCACTGTACTTACATGGAGTCGGGTGTCCGTGGTTGCTGTTGCCAGTTGTGGGCTCCTCTGACTTCTTGGCAGCCTCTGTTACTATTGGGAACTGTGGAGAATCTAGGGCAACCTTTTTGTCACTCAATGACTAAGATTTTTTTTTTAGGTCTTATATGGCCTGTACTGACTTATGAATGCACTGGAACCGTAGATTTGTTTCCAATTGATGTGAATTCTAGTAATGAATGTGAATTGGGGATTTTTATCATTTGAATAACCAATTTCCACAGTTTAAAGTTCTACTTAGCTTGTAGATACATGCTTTTTTTTTCCCCACGTCATACTCTGAACTGGAAGGTGCTTGTGTGGGGTTTTAAACTAATAATTTTTGTATGACTTTCATTTCTGAAAAATAAGTCAGGTCTTTAAAAAAAACCAGAATTTTTTCCAGGACTATAATATCATTATAAACACTAGTTAAAATGAGGGGTGGATAAAGCATTGGGTTTTATTTAATTCTAAAAAGATATGCAGTAGGGTTTTTAACTGTGTTTCTATGGCTGGTGAATATAAAATATATTAATGTATTTGTATCACATATTTATTTTTAATCCAGTTTGCAATACACAAAAAAATTTCCTTGTATGCACAGAGCTTTTTCTTATGAGGATCTCTGAGACTGGAATAGTTTCCATACAGGCAACGGTTAGATAAGCAAGCACTTTTTACATGTGGACAGTTGTGACTCTTAAGTTGTGAATGATTTGGGGTGGAGGGGCTGACTGCCTTTGCCAACCAAGACTCAAGGGCCACCCAGTGAGGTTAGCACGAAATAGGTGCTAGAGAATACAATAGAGAACACAAAAAGGTCACTGTTACTGCAACAGGTGGTAGATTTGTGAAACTCCTTGTCAAAAGAGATTGTAGGTGCAAAAAGATTATACGGGTCCAAAAAGACACATGAGCAGGTACTTGGAGAGGTGCTCTATGGGATGAAATCCCATGGTTTGGAGAGAGGAGCTAGGAAATACTCAAGAGAGTGTTATTTATACTTCCCTCGTCTGCTTGTGGCTGCTGTTGGCAAGGTCAATACTGAGCTAGGCAGTCTTTTTGTCTGAGCTGGCAAGGTTATCCATATGTTCATAGTCTTCCAGTTTCCCAAGTGTTTCTACTAAAGGGCCACAGAATATCTTTTCCAGAATACTTCATGTACTGGAACTGGTAAACTTTATAGGGCTCCAGTTATGAAAGACTGACAAAACTTCATGTGTGGTGCATAAACGAGCCACTTGCATGAAGATTTTTGGGTTTCTGGGCCTTGGTTTTCCTCCCCTTATCAGCATTGCAGTATCACAGTGTTAGTGGGATGCATTTACTGCTTTTCTGAAAACTCATTTTACAACTCAATTTATTTTATTCTGAGTACTGTATTTGGACACCCATGTAATTAGCGTAACCACTATGGGTTGTGTAAAGGAACTCAGGTGTCTCGAGGGTTAGACACACAGTGCGTAACTCAAAAGCGCTTTGCTTGGATTCATGCAATTTTAGGCACTCAACTGGCATGTCTAAATTAGCAAGCTGATTGCCCTAGGTTCCTTATTCATCAGTGGAGAGGAGATCTTCCTGGGGATGGTTTGAATCTTATATGGGCAGAGTCTCCTGCTGGAGCTGCCTAGGTAAGAGAAAAAAATGTTTTATTAACCTCTGAGCTTAATTTAAGTGTCATTGGTACCATTAAACTTTCACAATATGCAGACCTGGGAAGGAGACGTTTAGTGATGGAGAGCTGTGAATAGGGTTGGCAAGAACTTGGGCATCTCAGAAAGCTTTTAATTCCCCATTGAAAGTGTCCTGAAAGGTGGAAATCTGAACAGCTGAAGAATCCACTTTGGGACATGGCTGCATATGTTACAGAAAGGCTGGGTGAAAGTAAATCTCCTTGCTGTTTTGTCTTGAGTTCAGTGGATATGAATCAGTATTTAATTTGGAAGTACTGCAATTTGTGTGAGCACTATAATGTTAAAATGTACCTTTCACAATCCACCCCCCAGGCTTTAGGAAGTCTCTTTTTCTGTAGATTTGCTATACAGCAAACTTTGGAGTTATATCTGATATATTTTATGTTTGTTTTTTTTTTTCTCTTATAGGTATGTTCAAGGTACTAATTACCTGGTTCATGCAGAAATGGTATAGTCTTGTTTTCATTATGCAGCATAAAACGCTTTAAAGTTGTGAATGCAAAGTCTCAGGAAATGATTTTCCAAAGGATTTAGTGAACGTGCTGCACAATGAAAGACAAGATTGGACCATTAACATTTGCTCTTTGAGTATTTTTGGAGAACAGGATTCAGTTTTTAAAGTGTGTCACAGAAGAATTTAAACTCTTTCTTATGATGTAAAAATAGCTCAGCCATGTAAAGAAAAAGTTAAACAGGGAACTGTTCTGATTTTTAAAGGAAGCTCATATACCTCTGCTCCATTCCCTGATTGTTGACAGTGAATATTTTGGTGAGAGAGACTGCTGCTGCCTGCTGCTGTGTGAGGCACTGCAGGTCCAGAATAAAAGTGTTGGGATGCTGTTGTAGGATGGCCAAGTGACTTGCTGTGAGCACTAGTGATTAACTGTTCATTTTGTTTTAATTGCTTTACTGTTGGCTTGATGCTTTGACATGTTCCTAAGCTGTTCATTGCAATATTGCCTTCTGCCCTGCTTGATCTTCTGTCACCTTCATCAGCACTCTTTCTGCTGTTACTGCTTTCTTACTTCCCCTTCGTTTGTCCTTCCTCTTGTCTCTGCTGCTCCTTCTAGGATGAACCTCCCTGTTGTTGCCTGTATTCTCTGCTTTAGTTCTGCTAAAAGTTTCGCAACTCCTACCCTCATACTTTGTCTTTCTCCATAGCAAGGTGACCTCTTCCCCTCACCTGTCCAACTCTGACCTGGAATTGCTTTATGACACCAAGCAAGATAGCTCATTTTCCCTTCTCCATCTATAAAACAAAAGCAATAATTCATACCTTTTTGGTCTTGTTTTTACAGTAGTTGAAAATGATCATCAGTTTGGTTGCCTCTTAATTAAGAGGTTGCCAACCTGAAAATTTAAGACATGCTGATCTGATCTGACCTGCAGCATGGCAAGGCCGGT